CCGCTAATAAAAGCATGCCCATATGCAGTGAAGTAGTGAGGCAGTTGCAGGATTTCTTCTGTCCAAACAGTGCCTCCTTGAACATGACCAATTTTCCTGGTTTATCTTGCTATGTTCACATATTGTTGAATGTAATTTTCTAGGCCTGGTGGTAATGGGGAAGAAAAAAAAGGGGACAGGCACAGAAAAACGTGTGCCCCTCACATTCTCTCACCTGCCTTGTGGTCTCACACATGACTCCCGAATCTGACTGCTCCCAGAATGTCACGCGGATACTTGGTCATATGCAGCATTCTGTTACAATCACAATGTTGCTTAGAGCACTCAAAGGAGGATCGGGTCCTTTTGTGGCACCTGGGCCCAGTTAAGCAGAAAAACGGGTCTGGGGTGGGGTGGAAGAGGGCCTTCTCCTGCCAGGATTTCCTTGGACATTTTGTCACATTGTGGAGGGAAAAGCTTAATTCAGAGCCTTGTTTTTCTGCGGGAGGCCCCCAGAGTTCCTAGCCACACTCCAACTCCCCTGCTGAGGTCCGTGTCCTCCCTCTGAGATCGCTGTGTGTTCTGGCTCCTGTGCATCTTTAGTGCATGTTACGATGATGTGCGCCACCAACAGGATGTTTGGTGCCTGGGCGGGCTTGGCCAGCCTCTGGGGCATTCGCTTAGCAATGGGGGTGCCCTGTTCCAGCTTTTGAGTTCTTCTGATGTTGCATTGCCTCTCCCCTCCCCCCCCCGGCAGATTCTGCAAAACATTGTGGGCACCGCTCTAATGATCCTCGTGGCCATTGGCTTCAAGACTAAACTGGCCGCCTTGACCTTGGTCATCTGGCTCTTTGTCATCAATGTCTACTTCAATGCCTTCTGGACCATCCCGGCCTACAAGCCCATGCACGACTTCCTCAAGTATGACTTCTTCCAGACCATGTCAGTCATCGGAGGCCTCCTCCTGGTGGTGGCGCTCGGCCCCGGGGGTGTCTCGATGGATGAGAAGAAAAAAGAATGGTAGGAGAGGAACCACCCCCACGTCATCTCAGAGCCTGGGACCCGACTCTCAAGAGGAATTCAGCGGAGGGGCAACACCCCTCCCCCTGCCAGCATTTTACATAGATGTGCCCGAGTTCCCTTGTTCAAGGCACAGATTTTTCTGGAGAGAGTTGTTTTTTTTTTTAAAAAATGTACAGCCGCACTGATAATCCAATATTTGATCATGCTTTGTGAAGAACATTTGCCCAGGGTCACTGTTGTTCTCTCTCTCTCTTTTGTAACTGCCTAGAATTGGAGCAAAGAAACTGGCTGGCTGGGGCCGCTGGGTGGGAGGGCACCCCCCACAACCCCTACTTTATCTCCCTGATTTTTAAAAGAAATTTAAACTACTGTGATCAGAAAACCTGTTGCATACTTTTCAGTGTGATAATTTTTGTTTTGTTTACATTCTTGTAATTAAAGGAAGTCACTTCCCAGGTTGAGAACTGACACCCTGATGGATGGATTGAGTGCAGCTTGTGCTTATGGGAAGTGGTTTTACGGGAAACAGTTGAGGCAGGGGGTCACCCACAGAGGCTTCTTTTTAGTGTTATCAGCTTCCGTCTCTGCCACCGTCACAGCTGCCTTACGACGACCCTGTAGGGTTTTCAAGGCAAAAGACCTCCAGAGTTGGTTTTGCCATTGCCTCCCTCTGCAGCGTGATCCCGGACTTCTTTTGTGGTCACCCATCCAAATTCGAGTCAGGGCTGACCCCTGCTTGGCTTCTGAGGTCACACTTGCTTGGGCTGAGTATGTGCTGAAATCTCTTCCCTTGAAATCACTGGGGCTCAAAGTTATTTATGTTGGGCGGTATTGTCCTCCTTTTGGCCCCCAAAAAGTATTACAGAAGCAGGTGTTAAGATTCTGAAGCATCTGAAGGACCATTTAGTGATCCAGGGAAGTCAGCATGGTTTTGTCCCCAACAGATCTTGTCAGACCAACCTGGTTTCCCTCTTTGATCGTGTGACGAGCTTACTGGATCGTGGGAACTCTGTTGGATGTGATTTACCTGGATTTCAGTAAAGCTTTTGATAAGGTTCCCCATGACATTCTGATGGGCAAACTGGAAGACCGTGGGCTGGACTATAGGACAGTTCGGTGGATAGGGGACTGGTTAGAGGACCGCACCCAAAGAGGGGTGGTCAATGGCGTTTCATCAGATTGGAGGGGTGTCCAGTGGGCTGTCAGAAGGCTGTTCTGGGCCCGGTACTTTTCAATATTTTTCTCAATGATCTGGATGAAGGGCTACTATTAAATTTGCTGATGATACCAAATTGGGAGTAGCAGCAAACACCCAAGAAGACAGAGTTAAAATTCAACAAGACCTGAATACTCTGGAGAAGTGGGCAGTTGCAAACAGGATGCAATTCAACAAAGATAAATGCACAGTATTATATCTGGGCCACAAAAATGTCAAGCACAAATACTGGATGGGGAGCAGTGTATGCAAAAGAGATCTTGGGGTAAGAGTGGACTGCAAACTAAATATGAGCAGTCAGTGTGATGCAGTGGTAAAAAAGGCAAATTCAGTCTTGGGTTGTATTAAAAGGGCCATTGCATCGCAATCGCAGGAGGTCACAGCCCCTCTGTAGACTGCCTTGGTCAGGCTGCACCTTGAGTACTGTGCAGTTCTGGAGGCCTCAGTTCAAAAAGGATGTGGACAAAATCAAGAGGGTATAGAGGAGAGCGGCAAGGATGATCAGGGGTCTGGAGACTGAGCCCTACAAGGAAAGGCTAAGGGCCTTGGGGGGCATGATTGCTCTCTTTCAATATTTAAAAGGATGTCATTTGGAGGAGGGCAAGGAGCTGTTCCAGTTGGCAGCAGAGGATAGGACCTGAAGTAATGAGTTTAAATTACATGCAGAAAGGTATCGGTTGGATATTAGGAAAAACTTTCAAGGTCAAAGTGGTTCAAAGGTGGAATCAGCTGCCTAGAGAGGTGGTTAGCTCCCCTTCACTGACAGCTTTCAAGAAGAGGCTGGACAAATATTTGTCAGAGATGCTTTAGGCTGGTCCTGCATTGGGCAGGGGGTTGAACTAGATGGTCTGTATGGCCCCTTTCTACTCTATGATTCCCTCCTTTTACAGGGAATCTGAAACATCTGGATCTCTCACACTAAAATTGGGGAAAGCCGTACCAGTATGGTGGTAAAGGAAGAAATGGATTAAGTGGGAATCCTTTGATGTACTTTTAGGCAAGAAGAATGTAAAACCCGTTCCACTGTGACTTGTTCAAATCCACATTTTATTTGAAAAGTGTCTTTGGGATTATTATTTTTTTTTTTGGGGGGGAGCACAGTTTATCACCACTCCATGTGCACCAACAGCCTTCCTTGCATCTAGTCCCGCCGCCAGGCACAAGCAGAAGAGGACAAGGGCAATCATCCCCTCTTGGGCCGCTGCTGTGGCCAGCCAGGTGCAAGTTGGCATGACCCAGGAACAGACACCAGCCATGTCAGCCCCAAAGGAATTTAAAAAAAAAAATTGGAATGGTCTCCAGAGTGCCTTTGATTAGGACCGATCAAATGACACATTGAGCTTTTGAGTTCATTACGACCTTTCTTGAGGCTGGATAAAACGTTTCTAAAGAGAAAAAGAAATCCCTCAGGATGTGATGGTGAGTGCTGCTTCACGTAACACCTGTTGTCTTTTGGGCAAGAGACAATAAAAACAAACTCCATGGGCCACTATC